CTCTCAAACACACACACTTGTGCACACACACAAACAACCACACACACACACACACATACACACACACTAACATGCAGACACACACACATGCAGACACACACACACACACACACATACACACACACACACACACACATAAAAACCATCCACCTCCTAAATGGACTACATTGTGTTGGTAGGGGTGAAAAACTTCCACAATTATTACACACGTGCGCACATGCGCGCACACACACACATACAAACAATCACACACACACAAACACACACACACACAAACACACACACACACAAACACACACCCACACACACAGTCAGACACACGCACACACAATCTACCTGAAAATGCTTGGGTTCACTTCCAAAAGTTTGGAGTTGCGTCTGCTCTAGGTACTCCAGCGTGGCCTTCTGGGGCGCACGAACGAAGGGGTTTGTGGGAAGGTTACACAAGATGGCCACCCCGGCAACAGCCGCCGCCCCCACCACACCCACTGTGCCCCACGTGCCCATGGCTTGCAGGGATCTGTGGAATACAAAAGGTATTAGAAAACAATGAAACAAAAAGGAACTTTCTTTGGAAAACAATAAAGAAAATAGAAATGAAGATAGAAACAAAAGGGGTCTTTCTTCGGAAACAATGAAATGATACGCGCTTTTGGGGGGCAACAAAAAGGAATGAAAAGGATCCATCTTAAGAAACAAAAAGAAACTATCTTTGGAAATGAAAAGGAACTATCTTTGGAAATAAAAAAGAACTGCCTTCGGAAGCAATAGGAATCATCTTTGGAAATGAAAAGGAACAGTCTTTGGAAACGAAAAGAAACTATCTTTATTAACAAAAGGAAACAATCTTTGCAAATGAAAAGGACCTATGGTTGGAAACGGAAAGGAATTATGTTTGAAAATCGAATGCAGAAAATGTTTATAATATATATAGTTAGTGTTTTATGCCTCCCCCCCCCCCTCTATATAAGTCAGATAAACTGAGAGGATGGCTGCTTCTATCAGGCCTAATCAGGGCTGAGTGGAATACAAATACAAGCAGACAGGCGGAGATTTTGATAAAAATAATTTCTCCACATGGGAATCAAACTCATGTCTTCTGCTTACAACAGTGAAGAGCATTATTACAACATCACAATAGCCGGTATGTGTATACCGCTGACAGGGATGAATAAATAAAGGGAGCTTTCTGAAGAACCCAGTGTGTCAGGTTTAGTTATAGTAAGGTTTCACGGCGCTCGCAACTGCATAAGGTCATAATATAAGCGCCAAGGGGTGGATGTCAACAGAGAAGTCCTTACAGGGAATCGGGCTTACTCAGCTCACCTCTCTAGTTTCAACAGCACAAAGTCTGCTTCGACTATCAAGGAACCCCGGAAATAGCGGGCCACAAGAGAGTGACAAAAATACATAAGAAGTAGATGAAAATGACGACAGTAAGGATGAGGAAAGAAAAAAGCAGCGGTTCCCTGTTATGAGCATGACATTGATGAATCTGCCCATTTACAATTCTAATCTACTGTGCAACAGAACATGGTAATGTCCCCCGTTTGGGAATGGCCTAAAGACACTTCAGTCAGTAGCACCGCCCCGGGTCAGACATTGTGAGCAGTGAGTAAAGAGACGAGTAGTGTATCTGTCTGTTAAGGTTAATGAGAAGTTGTAACGACAACACAACACGATAACGTTTACGCTTAACCAGGGATCAATAATAATAATATTAAAAAAGAAGTGGAAGGAGCAAATGAAATAAAACATGTCATGCCCCCCCC